TTTTTACTCCGAGTTTCACGCACTAAGCGATCATCAGAAAACTGTTTTCTGATGATCGCTTAGTGCGTGAAACTCGGAGTAAAAACACTTCCAGCCGAGTCTCACGCGAACCGTGACATTTTTTTAAATAAACATTCGTGGTTCGCCTGATACTCGGCTGGAGGCTGAGTTTTCAGGATCCGCCGTGGGAACGCTATCACCCTGTATGGTTCAAGGTGCAGATGCAGCTCCTAAAGCGGTGGGAGGCGAGTAGATCACACCCACCACAAAGCCATCCCCATTCGCCGTATCCGTGCACCACCAGCAAGAAGGCGTAGCATCCTCAGAGCAGCAGCTGCCGACAGGTATGCAAATGATGTTTCAAAAGGAGGTGAACTAACTGATTCGCATGATGTGAGCGCTACACAGGCAGAGTTGGCGGTTTTGCTTGAGCTAGTGTGTCGTTGTGTCGGAGTGTTGCCAAGACATCTCCACTGATCAGGCTATTGCATAACCTCTATTGCCTACAATCTGTCAGACAGAACACAGACAAGCTCCGGGCATTTCGACTTTGGTCACCTGTTCATACTGGCCCGGTACCCTTCGACTTTGGTCACCTGTTCATACTGGCCCGGTACCCTTCGACTTTGGTCACCTGTTCATACTGGCCCGGTACCCTTCGACTTTGGTCACCTGTTCATACTGGCCCGGTACCCTTCGACTTTGGTCACCTGTTCATACTGGCCCGGTACCCTTCGACTTTGGTCACCTGTTCATACTGGCCCGGTACCCTTCGACTTTGGTCACCTGTTCATACTGGCCCGGTACCCTTCGACTTTGGTCACCTGTTCATACTGGCCCGGTACCCTTCCGAGTTCGTGGGATTTTCGCACAGCCGAAAACACAATGAACACATTGAATCAAGGAGACAACGGTTGGTAAAAAATATAATATAAGGGCTGGAAACAACTGATCACAAGTCAGCCATCATATTGTAGTAGTAGTAGTAGCAGCAGCAGCAGCAGCAGCAGCAGCAGCAGCAGCAGCAGCAGCAGCAGCAGCAGCAGCAGCAGCAGCAGCAGCAGCAGCAGCAGCAGTAGTAGTAGTAGTAGTAGTATGTATTATTATTTTACTTGGGTATACCCAACAGGCCTATGGCCTTCTTACAGCGTGCCCAAGGATTGTGAGCAGGTGAGTGAGATCGCCAACGGTTAACATATCCCTCCCCAGTGGGGTCTCCAATGGTTAACATATCCCTCCTCAGTGGGATCTCCAACGGTTAACATATCCCCTCCTCAGTGAGGTCTCCAACCGGAAGTATATCCCAAAATCAATTTTTCACCAGTTGTAGTCTTCGGGTGCTGAGTCGAATGGTCTTGGTTCGAGGAAGCAGTCTTCCTCCTTTACTCCTAATCGAACTGCCCACTTCCACCGAAACTGCAACTGCGCCCTACTAGATGGGGATTTGAATGCAAAGTGTAACTAAAAGCGCCATTTCATTCTTATAAAAAGGATGGATGACGGCAATTGGCCCATATGTTGTAGTCTTTTGGATGCTGAGTCGACTGGTTTTGGTCCGAAAGGGCTGCGATGCAGCGTTCGGTCCTCTCCGCCAATCGAACACGGCCGGGCAAGCTGCCACGTGCTCGTGCGTACACCAGTCACCTGGTCACCATGCCTGCAGGCTACAATTTTCAGACCAAGGTTCAACTCAAAGGTTCAAAGGTTCAACTCAAGTGACAGGAACGAACCCAAACAGGCTGTAAGTTGACACATTGTAGCAAGTTGTATGCAGAGTACATACCATTTTTCGCGCGTAACGACATCGTCAATGACTGTTCCGGGCAATGGGTTTTCCTTGTAACGACCTCTCGTCCTATAGAAGCGGTGGTTGATCCGCTTCTGAACAACAACGAAGCACACGCCAACGCTGCAGAGGAGAGATGGTAAAATTGCACAGCATCTCAGCATACACATCCTTATTCAGGGGGCGTCGCACACGGTATGGTCACTACGGTATTGACCGTACCACTATTTGCCCCAAGTACCCCGTGAATCAATAAAATGCGCTGATTTGGGCTCTAATTTTCCAAACTTTTCGCCTCAGCCACCCCAGGTCCCCTGCCCCACCAGTAAGTTGTACTTAAGATGGCTGACCGTGCCACACTAATTACCTTCCTACGCCCCTGTTATTGAAGTGCCGGGTCACAAAACAGCAAAATGTGTTTGCAAAATCATCTATGCCGGTAAAGACTGAAAGATGATGAGGTTTTCGGCTCCTTGTAGCCTATTCCTTATGATATGCTCACATTGACCCTTTCAGTGCTAACTTGATTTTTAGTGAAATGGCTGAATGCACTACATATTGTGCAAGCTGTTCGGATTACAACTTTCGTTTCCCTTCATCAGTTTCGACAAGTAGGCTTTCTGGAAAGGTCTTGTAATTAACAATCCTCTATAGCCAACGTCGTCATCGAATAGATGTGCTCCACGGTTACATACAGACACAGTGCGAAGTGACAACAACGTCTTCAACTTACGTCTGTCCTTCAGGCACAATACGTTCTATGCCACGTATGATCTGGTCGCACTCATTGTCACGAACATAAGCCAGCTAAGTGAAAAACGCAAAAGAATACAAGGGGCCCACACGATGTTACAGCATTTCTGAAGCAATAGATTCCTGGTTGGAGGGAAGCGGAACTACCACACGAAGTACGGAAGCCATATTAGAGAGGTTCCAGGGTACAATTTTCAGTGCCAAAATCCGCATGGGGGAACCGGATTTTGGAGGCATCATTCAGTGACGGGAATGGTCTTAGAGACTGCTTCACCCATTCCCGTTGGCTTTCCATTCTCATTTCGTCGTAATTATTTACACTCCTTCCGCATGTATGCATGCTCTGTATGTCTCGTGATCCCCAAATTAAAAATCATTATTATTATTATTGTAGAAAGGAAAAGGACATATGGATACGAGTTAAGAGTAACTATCCATCACTGTAACTGGATACTATACAGTCAGAAAGTGCAATAACTAGGCACAAAACTGACAAGAGTACTGAGACATTCGACGTCCTGACACCTAGCTTCAACACATCTCCGTAGCGCTAACCGACAGCCTTCCAACTTGGAAGGTTCAAGGTTATGGAAAGACCAAAGAGGGGAACGCAATTCCCCTCTTTGGTCTTTCCATAACCTTGAACCTTCCTTTATGGGCTCACCACACCTCAGTAAGTGGGTGAGGACAAGGTGCAGAAAAAGGATTGACGGCATCAGGGTATCCGTCCCGGGATCCAACTGCAGTTACCCCTGCCCCCAGTGAAGGTAATACTTGCTACTAGTGTGACACACACACACACACACACACACACACACACACACACACACACACCCACGCACACACACACACACAAACACACGCACAGACACACACACACACACACACACACACATGTGTACACAGTGCACCAAAGAAGCACAGATGCCAAGGGACGGCAATGTGACCATGCACCGGAGGAACACACAGTAGACGTGGCTAGCATTTTATCATTCACGCTAACCATGACCGTCAGCCTGTACTGTTTTTTCTTGGGTGTTGAGAGAGAGGTTAGCACTTCGATTTCTGCCACAACGATCGACTTGTGACGTAACCCTGGTTGTAATCTTATCGTTTCGTTCTCCCGCTAAACAGAGCTTTCTATCGTTGAAACCAGGGAGTCGAAAAAGCCCCAAAACGATACCGAACCGACGGTATTTTGGGTATTGGGTGCGATTGCCGTTGGACTTAGCGTGAATGGTAAAATGCTAACCATGTCTAGTGCATGTAGTCTGAGAGAACGTCGCCACAACACACAGCTTTTAAAATCGCTATGGCCGTAGATGTGTATCATATTTCAAAACACACTTGACAATGTGCACAAACTTCACCTATCACATCTACTTTACATCACCGAGACTAGTTGCCAGGGCAACAACAATCATATCTTTCCTTCTCCTCACAGTGTGGAAGGAAAGGGCCCCATATGCCTGTGTGGGCGCATACGTGCGTGTGGGCATGCGGGCGTTAAACCTCATTGGTAGGACACCGTACGCTGCGTTTGAATCCCACACATGGATCCTTGTGTTTTTTTGGAAAGATTGGCTTCCTAGCAAGCGATGTTTTATGACCTTAAGCCAATACAGACAGAGATACCCTCCTTAGAAGACAAGCCGGGGGTTCAATTTTTTTGTCTTAATTTTAATTCGCAAACCAAACGGGCAGATCTGCCCAATGAAAAGGTGGCGAATGCAGATAGAAAGCAGTAATTAATGAAATTGGGGAGGGATGTAATAAGGATAGAGGTGGAGAGAAACTAAGCCAGGTGATCATCAAACAGGACGTATATAACCCCCGAAGAGTGTGCAACTCCTGATACCCTTTCCATGGGGTACGCCGACGGGGAAAACTCACATCACGCGGTGCAGCATTGCAGTTGTACGCTTCCACTGTCCAGCCCGTTTTTAGCGAGTAGCGGAGTAATAAAAAAGCACTCTGTGACAGAAACTCACTGCGGGTATGCAAATCCTCAGCATGATCATGGCAGATATTCGGATTGCGCGCACGCTATCCTTTGTTTTTACTTAGTACGAACGTATCTGAGACATATGATGTGAGTTTTCGCCGTCGGAGACCCCATGCACTCTTTAGGGGGGGGGGGGGGGGGTATATACTCTTAGTATTATCTACCATCCAAACTTGAATGTACGCGTTTCAGGCGTCAGCGGATTTTTGATGATTGTCTACCAATGAGGTTTGTCCTGTAACCAACATCGTACTAACGAATGTAGACCAGTATCTGGGCATTTAGAGTGGAGACGGCCAAGGAACCACTTCCACAGGAACCGGACTGTGATCCTTGCATCACACTTTCCCCAGCAAAGGTGTTACACATCAGGCTAAAAAGCAGATACCAGCTACTACTCACTAGTATTTCACAGCAACTGGTGCAGGACGAAACTGTCGTCTCTGGGACAAAAACTGGCCGTACGATAGAAAACTATTTGAGTTATAGAGGAAAGGGGAAGAGGTCGATTTTCATGTATGAAGTTGCAGGAAAGCTGACCGCCACTTCTACTACCTTTTCAAACAATTGAGAGTTTGCGGAAAGCCATGTTTCGTGGCGTTCGACATAAGTAACCTCGAAAAAGGCTACGAAAATCGGTCGATTCGGAGGTTGCGCAAAACACCAAGTTTTTTCCGAGTGCATGTAGTTGACAATCAGACATGCAAGCGCTAAGTATACGACATTACACCGGTGTCGCTAAGTATACGACATTGCACCGGTGTCGTACAGCACTGGGCACCAGTACAGTGATAGCAACTTCAACTTAGCAAGTAATTTTCGTTTTTCAGCTCCTTTTCCGTCGAGATTTGACAAAAAGCTTGCACAAATTTCGCTAGGCCATATGTTCGCAGATGATAATACACTATTCATTCCCCCACCTGAAGCAGTGTAAAGCCAGGCCTTTGTTTGGCCGACTCGTTTCCCCTCTTCTTGCAGTGCGCGTTCCCACTCGTGGCACGGTGACTCATAACACGGCAATTAAATCATATCACTCTTTAGCAGATGGCTGATGCTTGTAGAAAAAGTGCTGCGCTGGCGTAGTTGTTCTTCACTGCTATACATTATGGGAATATTGAAGTGCCTTTCGTCGGCTTTTCTGCCGGATTTCATTAACAGATGCGCTTCCATGCGCGACATGCGAACTGTAACTATAGTAAATTATACTGAGTAGTAATATTATTAGCATAGTATACCACCTTAGGCTGGCGGATAAATACTCTTTCATTCGGTACTGGCCTTTTAGTGACGGAAACCACTGATGATTGTCACGAGAAAACGTTATGGTTACTCGATATTAGACTTCCTTGTGATGATGTGTGGTTGGTGATGACCACACGTTTAATCTTACTCATAGCCTTCAAACTGCTGTCTCCACGGCTCTTATTTGTTTATCTGAGGTCACTTTGGCACGAGTTGGGCTGCACAAACACACAACCAACCTTACCTGTCCATCTCCAACACCATCGCGGAAGACGACTATGTTCTTTGGGTAGCTTCGAGTTTGGTTCCAGTATGCACGTAGAGCATCTAAGAGATTATTACAGTTACAAGGGATGCAGAGAGATTGACGTGGTTGCGTATGTGTGCGAAACGTGTGCGCGTGCACGTATGTTTGTGGGTATATGTGAGAGATTGTGTGTGTGTGTGTGTGTGTGTGTGTGTGTGTGTGTGTGTGTGTGTGTGTGTGTGTGTGTGTGTGTGTGTGTGCGTGTAAATATTAGCACCAGTCAATCCATGTCAGTCTATTTTCTCATCCAAACTGCTAGTTAACCACAAGTCAACACTGCACACCATGCCCCTTCTCAACTGCCACACCATGCCCCTTCTCAACCGCCACACCACAAGACCAGCACAGCACAAGACCAGCACAGCGCAAGACCAGCACAGAACAAGACCAGCACAGAACAAGACCAGCACAGCACAGCACAAGACCAGCACAGCACAAGACCAGCACAGCACAAGACCAGAACAGCACAAGACCAGCACAGCACAAGACCACCACAGCACAAGACCACCACAGCACAAGACCACCACAGCACAAGACCACCACAGCACAAGACCACCACAGCACAAGACCACCACAGCACAAGACCACCACAGCACAAGACCAGAACAGCACAAGACCAGCACAGCACAAGACCACCACAGCACAAGACCACAACAGCACAAGACCACCACAGCACAAGACCACCACAGCACAAGACCACCACAGCAAGAACAAGTCCACATGCAGTGTCCATACTAGCCGCTGTGTGCTTCTTTCGGCCTCCTAAGTGGAGT